GTTGTTCCTAGAGTTTATAGTGTATTCAGCCATTTGTGTTTATAATGTAATCTAAAACCGTTCACTTGCCATTTCGCGACAGTGCCACTTCCAACTCACAAAGATACCCATGCCGTATTCGAAAACCAACTGACTTATGCTCAGCCCCGTTTTGCCTCTTTGCTCACTCCCAGTATTGCACTCCAGGCTGAGATCAACGATTCATCTCCTGTCGATCCCCTTATATAAGGCCTACCACCATGCCCGTTTTGACTTGGCTCGTCGACGAGCACGCTCGGTGATCTTCTTAATGACACTCACAAGTCTTTCCAAATACCTTAAAATTTGTATGCCTTTGTAGTAGAAAATCCTCGGTGGTGACCACTGAGGATTTACCAGCACGTGCTGATTTGTTTACTTTATTTGGATCACACAGACTGAACTTCCAACGTACCGGCACAATGGGCATGTGACAAGGGGTCTGACATGCCAAGTGGAAGATGGTAGTTCTTGTATTCCAAAATACCGTGTCTTGTTTTTTCATCTCAAAGTCCTTTGTGCTCGATTTTGGACCAACTGGCTACCACGATCTCTTTCTCAGTTTCTTTCCAATTTCTCTGCTTCAATTTCAATTTCTCTGCTTCAATTCCAATCTTTCTGATTTTTATGATATACAGTGTATCCGTTCTTGGAAACAATCATACATATCCACAATTTCTGGTTCTCTGTGTATTGCTTTAATTTCTACCTCTTCAAAAGATACTCTCAGATATACTTTTCGATTTGATAAAGTTATCCTAATCTGTATCCTTCTCCTCATTTTTTAAAGGTAAGCTTGATAATCCCAACTTCATAGAAATCAAGAGACTGATGGTGATCATGTTTTTGTTGGTATACCAAAGATCAGCTTGATAATCATGAGTGCTGCACCAGTCACCACACAGGGCAGCAGTTCGACCGCACAAGGACCCGGTGCCGAATCATCCAACAAAAGGCCACGTCGAAATGATGATGAAGGTTTGTTTTGTCTTGTCTTCCAAATCTGTATGCCAATATATTGATCAAACCTTCTTAATTTTCCTAGGAGACCAGCCGAACGACGAGAACGACCTGTCGTATTCGGATGACGGAGGATACGATAGCTCAGGTGAGATATATTGATGATATACACTCGTTAAATACCAGCTGATCGCGCTCTTACATGATCCTTTAGATGGCGAGCTTACTTTAGAAGAATCCATGAAGCGCCAAAGGAAGAAGGCTGGTTTGCGAATGGAGACGTCCGAAGGACGCCGACGCGATGCCATGCTGGCCGACATAGCTAATGCTCATGATACTCCAAAAGCGGCCTCTCAGATCTCCCAAGCAATTTACGAATACACTCGCATGCTTATGGGAATCTCACGAAAGTCACGTATGTCTAACAATGACCACGATTCTACACTTCCTCCCCCACCTAGCGATGACGAGATGAAAGCTTGGGTCAATCGCCAAGAAGATCGCGAAGAAGTGATTAGAAAGGCAATGGAGAGGGGAATGCGCAAGTATCTCGCCAAGAAACCGGACAACTTCAAACCGAATAGAACACAGATCCGTACCGTAGAAAAAGATGCTGCTGATCGTGCTCGGTTGACTATCAAATTGAAGCCGGTCAAATTCACCTCCCGACTCGATCATAAATCTTCTTGCCGGTATGCGCACAACTGGGGCACTAAGTGTGAGGGTGCTTTGGCTCTTGCAGGTTTCCCTCGGTGTACCTTTGACTGGGAAGCTGGATACGACTCTCCCTGGAATTCTTCAGTCTCTGCGATTATCATTTCTCAATGGGTGAAATGTTTTGATGCGAAGGGTGCTCGAGCATTTGCCATCGTTGGATCAGACAACACTGACTTAAACCGTGATGAGGTCTTAAGGCGCTGGTTCAAGAACAAGAAAGGTGATTATAGAAAACAAACTAGAAATGAGATCCTGATTAGAACATCTCAAGGCCGAGCAAAGGTTGAAGCAGATAAAGCTTATTCGAAGAAGGTCATTAGCCGCCGAAGAGGCAAAGCTAAAGTCAGTCAATTTTTTCATAGATTTTGGATGCTTTTTCGTTTCATAGGCTGACTGAAACAACACTATCAATTTTAATCAGATTCACAAGGCTCGATTGTCAGTTGTGAAAGAACTTTTTGGTGAACAATCCGCCGAATACGGAATGTTAAATCCACGTGAGGTTCATTCCGAAGATGAACTCTCCAGCGCAGCGCCCAGCAAAGTGCGATTGGGGTGGCGTAGCGCCGAGTTGGATACTTTTATCTCATTGGTTGACCAGTGTGTGTGGGGACGCGAAACCGATGCAGCCCTTCGTCGTTCAGCAAGGCATCTAATTGAGCGTGGACCTTACTCCACCACCCCAGATGTGGATCTCTTCCCCCCTAAGAAATATCAGCGTTCTCTGGTATCCCCAACTTGGATAAGCTCCATGCAAGGAGTTGCTCTTACACACCTAGAATTAAACACCACTAATGTTGTTGATATCCGCCGAGCAATTATGAAGCTTACCAAAGAGCTTGCAAGCACCCCCTCAACTTCTCAATAACCACGATACTTGATTTGGTTTGTTTCACTGAGTTTCTCCAATTGATCTTAGCTTCAAATTTTTCCTCTTGATTTAACTTAAATGAATGTTCTTTTCAAACACGAATGTTTCCCTGCTACGTGATATTTGTACATAGTCTGTAGATAGATTTGTTTCACTAAATATCTATGAATTTTTCCTTTTGATTAAAATTAAATGAATGGTATCTTAAAACACGAATGTTTTCAATGTATATGTTATTTGTACATAGTCTGTAGATAGATCTTTTCCAATAAATTTTTCTCAAGTTATGTTTTTCAAAATGAAGATTTCAACGATTTTGAGGAATGAACTATGTGTTGAATTCTTTGATCAGAAGCTATGCTCCAATAAGAAAGACTCATATCTGATAGTATGAGTGTTGATTGTATTGGATCAACCTACATCAACCCTCTTTGGTTCTGTAGGACTCGGCTTTGGTCAATAAACAAGAATTATAGTTTTAAATTACATACTTGAATTAAGCCCTTTTTCACAATCATTCATTGTTGCCGCGGCAGTCATTTTTACACGACTCCTTACTTTCTTCGATTATCAAGATACCTCAGTGCATAAGTTGATTTGAAAATTTTCAAACAAATAAGTTGTCAAACAGGATTGTTGAGTTACTTCCGATTTCAAAGTGTAGGTACACAATATCTTGCTAATCTCAAAAGTATTCGAATTAAGAACTAGTTCACTGACCCTGTTATCGTCAAACATTTTTAATATCTAGATAATGTGGTTTGGTGCCAATCATCAATGCTGCACATGCACCGTTCTTGGATGTGCGAATCGATCGTTTGAAATGTGCGGTCAGACTCACAAGGGCCGGTTATTCCATCGGACAAACTATCTCCGCCATCTTGCTGCTGGGAAGAAAGCAACATCCAAAGATGTTCAACCTGAAGCTTCAAACTTGATTCATTCAACCGACACCACTTTGTCTCAATCTACATTGAGTATCAATCCAACACACGGACCAACCCAAATGGAAGTGTCTAGCGAATCAACAAACCAAGCAAGCACCAGCAAAAAACGTGATTGATCGGCCTATGAAGAGGACGAATTATTCACAGCACCTGGAATGATCAACCCGCGACCACTAAAAAATCTGCGAGAGGACTCCGAAAGAGCTCTCCTAGCACCAGTGCTCACATTCTCGACCGCGGCTTTCAAAATCCCTCGAACTCATGTACAAAACATATCCTGTATTCAATCAATGTTTCACGTGATAAACGACTACCTCATTAACAACAAGAGCGACAAGAACTGCCGTAGAATGCTAGAGATGGAGCGTTTGAAGGTTAGGACTGCACTCAAAGGTGAAAAATCAAAGATTCTATCGCTAAAATCAAATCAAGTAGAAGTTTGGAAAGAGATTCCGCTTACTGTGGAAAAAACTCTCAAGTGCTTTCATCTCAACATTGAAATCATACAGCTTCTATGTTGTCCAATCTGCTTCGACACTCACGGAAGTCCTGGATTCGTTCCCCTTCGTACTCACTGTAGCAATCTTCGTTTCCCATCAAAAACTTCATCTAAACCCCGCATCACTTGTCGAGCCTCACTCTACAAAACCGTTCAATCAGACTCGAAAAAAATCAAGCCAAGAAGGGTCTTTTATCACCAGAAATTCACCGAATGGCTTGCCAGGATGCTGTTATTTTCCACTTTTGAAAAATCACTTGATGCTTCGATCTCACAGCCACCCCGAACTGATGGGATTATGGCAGATATATGGGATGCTGATATGTGGAAGACTTTTAAAGGGGTTGATGGAAAAATTTACACCAAAGAGTCAGGCAATCTAGTATTCGGGTTCTTTTGTGATTGGTTCAACCCTTATGGGAATTCTTGTGCTCGTAATATATCTACGGGGATAATGCTGATGATATGTTATAGCCTTCCACCCGACATCCGGTATCGATCTCACAATATGTTCATCTACGGTATAACTCCCGGCCCTCGCGAACCTCGATCTGAACAAATGGAACCTTTACTTCGACCACTGCTTACAGAACTTCAAGCCTTCTGGAACGGGGTCCATTTCACCGAGACTTCCCTTCACCCAAAAGGACGTACAATACGAGTTACCTTATGGCCCCCGGTTGCTGATGTACCAGCCATGAAGAAAATTTCGGGATTCTCGTCACACAGTTCTACTAACTTCTGCTCCCGGTGCTATATCACAATTGATGACATAGATATTATTAATCATAAGTGTTTTCAGATCCGAACTCCTCAAAAGCACACACTAGAAGTCCAGAAGTGGAAATCTGCCATTTCGGCTAAGGAACAACAAGAACATCTCAAAGAAGATGGTGTTTGTTATACCATCTTTTCCGAATTACCATACTGGCAACCAATCAAATTTCCTACCATCGATATCATGCATTGTCTTGTGTTGGGATTACTGAAAGACTTATCAATGACTTACCTTCGAGTCGGACTCGCGGGCAAGACCTTACAAACTGAACAAGATAATCGACATGAGAAAGGAGAATATTCAGATGATCTTCCTATTCCTTCAGACTCGCCTTTTGATTTGAACAATCCCGATCAAGAAGCCCCTTCTAATGGACAATCTTTGGATAGAACTAGTTATCACCGTGCTGCTAAATCACAGACCTCTGCAGTGCCTTCACACGGCCTGACTCCTTCTTCGGCAGCCTCTCAAACATCTAATCAAACTTTACAGCCACATTCTTCTGAACCTTCGCTTACACCTCACGAACTTCAAATGGTTCACCGCTCAATATCAACCACCAAGGTGCCTTCCTGGCTAACTCGGGTGCCCAACCAGATAGGAACTACTCGAAGTGGCACTCCTAAAGCGGCCGAGTGGCTGACCCTTTACACCATATATATGGTGGTCTCACTAATCCCATATCTTCACAATTCCGAGCCAAACAGCACATCTTTCAACATTCACAAGGCTCTCACACTAGCAACTGGCATTATCAACATTGCAGTCTCACGAACGATGACAAATCAAGATATCAATGGTCTTTCTCAACTTCTCAAAGAATATCGGACCCATCTACTAGCTGTTTGGCCCTCTATTCGATCCAAACCCAATTTACATTATGCTCAACATGTGCCTGATCAGATCCGACGATTTGGACCCCCCTCATACACTGCTGCATGGTTTGGAGAACGAACCATTGGAACCCTGGTTCAAATGCCCAAAAATACGAATCAACGTGAGTTTAACATGTTCTTTTTTGTCAGGCAACTTCTGAGCCAAGCCTGTGGATCGATTCATCTGACATACCTCATCCATTCAGATATTGTTGGTCAGACTATGATCAAGCAACATACCTTGAAAACTATATTCACAAACCTCTGCGAAAACACGCCACCAATCTATGCTGCACTCATAGGTGCTCAAACCCTTATGAAGACCGGTCGGACTCATTGGAAGCCGTTCACTGTTTCACCTGAAATATCAGAAACTCTCAAGCCGGTTTTGATACAAATGGGCTTTATTGATATACCCAAACTCGAATCTGTTTCAATCTGGAAACATGCTGGGAAGTCGTACAGTACATTTACCAAACATGTAGGAAATAGCCGCATTGAATTCAAATTCCAAGGAAAATCGAGTTTCGGTGAAATTCAGCACATACTGCGAATAGCCTCACATTCAACACCAATATTCGTAATCAATCCCTTCTCTGCACTCACCCCAGTCGACAATTTGAAAAGCCCCTTTCAATCACTTCCTTACCTTCACGCCAGCGTTTTGTACCAACAATATCAGCCTTCAGTTGCAATTCCTATGAATTGTCTATTTGGGCACATTGCTCTCGTTGAGAATCCTCCGGGAACATTGGACATTTCATTGCTGACTTTGTATGTTGTCAGTCTTAGAAGCCTGGTACGTGTTTTCATATTTTTATATCATCTTCACTCAAGACTGACAAAGACAAAGCAACTCAGGGCATAATGGACATGACATCTACACATACGGATATGCCTTCCGCTTGACATTTGATACAATTCATCCACTATATTGTTGGTAAGTGGAAATATATTTATTTGATTTGTCCAACACGATATGCTTCAATTTCCATTTATATTCACAAATGTACCAAAAAAACAAAAGAATACACAATTTAACTCTGTATATACAATGACCAATTTAAAATACGATACATTAACGAAACAAGAAGAAATTTTATGATACAGATCTTTGATTTGAAAAACATTATAGTTGTAAATGTTTTTTTTCCTTTGCATCAAACATAACGTCATTTTTACGGAAGTTTATTGACAATCTGAGAGGGTAAAGTATTTAAAAGGTTTGAAGCGGGCTTCATTCTCAAAGCAGTCCTTGCTTCCTCAGTGAGATTTGCAAGGAACACTTGTTCATAACAATTTTCCGGAAGGCCGCAGCACACCGGTGCTTTTTGATTCACTTTTGATGCTTCCAGTCGACATTGGTCAAACCTTCGACGTGCAAGGAGGGGACTTGAAACCGAAGCCTTCACTTTGTACGAAAGTTCATCAAGTTTATGAAGAATTTGAGAGTACTGTTGACTTCTCCATATCACATCGATCCAATTGTAATGAGTTTGATCAGGCTCCCATTCTGTATCTGAGCAGCAGTCCGGGTCAGGCATCATATCAGAGGCTTCTGCTTCTATTACAAGAGACAGCGACTGTTGCCAATATTCAAACAGCTGGTATGTTATCAAGACAATATCAGGACACTAATCAATCACACTGTCAGGAAAGAGAGAACATCACCATTCTCTTCTTTCGAGCCTGCTCCTTGAGTAAGACCTTGTCAGGAGAGCGACGAGCTGTCCTTATTTCTTCGCTTCGTCCTCGAATCCAGCGGAGTACTAGACCAATACAGTTGCCTTGTGTACAGTGCGACTGATCAAGAGGCTTGTGATCAAACCATCCCTGTTTCTTCGCATGTAGCCAATGTTTTGTCACAAAGACCGCCATCGTCCTGTTCCACTGACTGTTATCGGATGCACTCCAATCAAAGGTGGCCCGGCCGATGTTATAATTATTCAAGTCGGCTGAGAAATACAAAATAGCACGTTTGTCGCTTGTTGAGCCAGCCTCAACCACGGTAGTGGAAAAAACACGCTCATCAGAGATGATGTCCTGCTGATTGAGAGTTGGGAGATTTTGCAGCTCTTCCGGGGTGGGTTTTGAAGGATACGATTTCGAAACCTTGTCGTAGCTCAACAAGATCCTTGTAAATTTAGCAAGAGAGATGCTTATGAATTCAGTCGATTTGGGTAGTACAGCAGCGACTGAAGAATTCAAGGCCTTGATCGATCTAGCAGGGGCTCCTTTCTTCCAATAATGAGACCTGGGAGGTACTAAAAACCGGAATCATTAGAGAGAAATCAAGATTGGAGGTGTTAACATTGAATGGGCAAGTTATCAAATTCACGAAAGAGAGTCAACCAACCCATTTCAACGATTCGATTTTCAACAGCTAGTATAATGAACTTGAGTAAAAAGTGTTTGGGGGAATCTTTCTCAGCGAGTCCTCACTCAGCAGCTTTTGGGAACTCATCAATTAAGAAGTTGACATCTTTACGTTGAAGTCCTTAGATTCAAGATGAACAAAGGCGACACAAAAAACGACTCACTTCATGAGCGCTCAGCCTAATTGAGCTGAATCATTGAATGGCTCATTAACCAAAGGCGAGCTCAGCCCCTTCAACAGTCTTCACCAGGCACAAGGTAAACAAAAGAGAAACAGATTGCTTTCAAAAGCACTCGAGTGTGCTCGTCGACGAGCCAAGTCAAAACGGGCATGGTGTGGCTGGATTGGTGGTACATGTCAGACACTCAGGCAATGCTATTTCGTGCGAGGAAGAGGTTGCCCTTGGACGACCCACCTTTACCTTACGAAGACGATGACAAAGACAACAAACCACTTGACAATGCAAGACGTGCCGGTTTGCCTTCCACAACCAATGCCCAGGAGTCCATGCACCGGGTTTATTATATGCTGTGGTAAGTATGATTTTACCTTTTTTGTATATGTTTGTGAATGAAACATATGGCTCATGAAGGATTATACGTTCCACAGCGACGGAAAATGCACCATATTAGAGGGAATGATCCAACTGTTTGCCTTTGTGAAGAGTTTGGAACGCGATCACCAGCAAGTTCAGAAGGGCTGCTCTATCGCTTACGGTACTTCTCAAAAGAACTGGGAAGAAGTCGTCAAATCCATGCAAATGGACAAGCCAACGAAACGAAAATTCATTTCTAACGACGGCAGGCCACCTGACACCACCGAAGCCCTGCTCGGAAGCTTCAAAGGCTCTAATTCACATAAGCCAAAAGGCCCAGGTCGACCTAAAGGGTCTCAGAATATCAACCGAGCACATTTAACTACCTATCGGTCGTACACTAAAGGTGTTACAAAAGGAACCACCAACCGTTGTTGGCAGAGTTCGACACTAGAGTGTCTATATTCACTCTTTGGACCCTTATGGAGCCTCAATGCTTCAGTCAATGGAACCACTTTGGTTCATCTATTGTACCGACATTTCACAATTCGATGCCACCTTGAGATTACTGCCAACGACACGCTTCTCACGAGCATGTCGAGATTCCAGACTTTAATGCACAATGCCATTCGAGGTATGACTGACGACGGAGTTTATGAAGAAGATCAATTTGGGTCTGCTGATGGATTCATGGAAGTTCTTCTTCGACCTGGACCACACTCTCTCCATCCTCTTTTCGAAATGCCCATCCGCAAGACCCATTCCTCAGTTAGCTCAGTTTTATGTTTTAAGTTCAAGTTGAGAGGGCACATATCCCTCTCAACTTACTTTGAGAACTTCCCGAGTACTCTCATACCTCGAGGTCAGGGAGTACTGTGTGGGGGTAGTGGCGAAGCCACCTCCCGGCTCTTCTTTGGTTCTCGTGAACCAAGAGCACGTGGAGTGAACTGTCCGCCTTCCACCCACCCACCCCCCTGAGGTGTCTCTCTACTCGTATCGTTTTGTGTAGCTCTATGACCCCATATCTAGGCGAGGCTCATCGCCTAGCCTCTTGGAGCTACCCCAAACCGTATGAGCCTCATTTATCTGTATTACCTAGTTATAATCCTGTTTGTTTATCCACACGTTTGTGCGTCTCATATTCAACCTTCAATTTGAAGTATGTCTAATTTTACTCGTTCATTTAAGATAAACTATCTGCATGCAAACTTACTGCATGCCGCCTATCTGCATGCTTCCATTTTAATCTTGTAGTTTCTTACATAGTCATCCTTTATATAGATTAACTGGTGTCTTTCCCAATTTCTCTCCTCTCGTTTCCTAAGGATGTTCTTCGATCGCTTCTAAAAATATGATTGTGTCTCGTATCTCTTCTTCCGTATATGCTTTGAAATATCTTAAATAAGTCATAGACTTCCATCTACCCTGTCGTGCTATGGTCTTTACTGGTGTTCCCAGGTTAAATCTTATCGAAGCTCCTCCCACTCTGAAAGAGTGGCCTGACCAGCTTCCTACACTAGATCGTCCCCAAGATTCCTCTACTATCTTTATAAAGCGCTGTTTCGTTAATGGTTCTGGTCCATTCCTTCCGTTTACCGCGAACAGGAAATCATCTCTATCTCCTCTTCCATTCATTCTCAGAGCCCTTTCTATCGCTTCTACTGGGTCTAATACATTCTTTTGTTGTTGTAGGTGTATTATCTGGACTTCGTTCGCTCTTGCTGTTTTAGCCTTCCTCAAGTGCAGGCGTACAAATCTTTCTCCGTCTCGTTCTCCAAATTCGACGTTTCTTCTTAAAATTGCACCTGCTTCCGTTGATACTCTTAAAAGTTCGCCCAATCTTGCCATGCCCCAGAAAGCTACGACCACTACAATCCCTACCATTTCGTGTTCTTGTGAACTCTGTAACGAGTTCTTCAACAACTTAAATAAATCTCGTATCATCACTGGTCTCTTTGTTGTTACCAGTTCCTTCTCTTCCTCGTTTCGTTTTGTGGCGTTTATCAACAAGGACACCATTTCTCTATCTGCTGTTGGTTGTCGCTTATGTCTTACCATATGCCATGCTCTAATTCCGTCGAGGTACTTCTTTATGGTAACTGACGAAATCGTTCTCGCTGGACCGTTTAAAGGTTTGACTTTCGACTCTCCTGCCCATGCTATAAAATCATATATTTCTTCATCTGATATAAACTGGTTTTCATCAAATCTTCCTGTAGTTTTCTCTTTAAATTCAATGAATTTCGACATTCCGCTGGAATATCCTCCTAGAGTTGATTCTGCCCAGCCACTTGTTGCCGCATGTCTTCCTGCTAAAGACGTGCTTTGTCTAGCGTTCTCAAAGTGCTGTGGTAACTGTCTATGGAATCTTTCGTTATTCATGGTGTGTGGTACTTAAGTTTCTACGTTTTCAAAAACGACGGGCTGTTACGATTTCTCACTAGTGCGGCTCTTCTAGGGTCACTTTTTTATAATTCTCTATTTCACTTATCATTCTTGTACAATGAATGGTTTCAGGTCATGTGGTATCTCCACCTTGACCTCATCTCTTACTTGTTTTGTCGAATCAAACCCCCGCGATAACTGATCTGCTGCGTTATCTTCCGACCTCACCCGCTTTTGCCGGATACTGCAGTGCTTATCTAGCATCTCCTTTTGGATTTTTATCCATTCTCTGTTAACCCATCTGTTCCTCGATTTCCCGTTCTTTACTGCCCCTTCTGTTACTACGTTATCTGTTAACACCAGCAGTTCATATCCTCTCACATCTATTAAGGACTCGACCATCAACAAACCGAGTCGCACCGCCACTGTTTCAGCCCATGCTATCTCTTGCCTTGATCCATCGTACTCTGAATCGTTCCACCCCGATCTCAGTCTGAACCTGGCCCATTTCTTCCCCACGATTATGCCTATCCCGTACAATGAAGACGTGTCTCCAACCCATCCAATGTTCTTCACCCCTTTCTTCGGTATCAAGCGTCTTGGATTTGCCGTGAGTAAAGTTGAGTACCAAATTTTTAAATCTTCTTCTACTTCTTCCGGTAGGTCTCTATAAGCCCATTGATGAACCCACTCTGCCATCCATCTATACAGTGCCATTCCGTGACATCGCAATTGTGGGTATACTAGAGACACATGATTTAACCTTCCTGCTAGTTTCTCTGCTTCTTTGTAAGTACATCTCTTTGCTTCCAGAACTACTTTTATTTGAGCTAATCGTTTTTCTAACTTTTCTTGAGGTAGTCGAACCGTCTTTTCTTTCCCATTCCAAACAAATCCGAGATATTTTTGTTCTTCTGTAAACTCTCTCCATTTCGTAGGATTACTTACCACACCCATCTTTTCACTTGCGTCGGCTACATCTTTCATTGAGACTTTATTTCTGTCTGCTTTCCTTTTAATAAATAACGTATCGTCAACCCAGCGAAATGCCTCTGTAAAGTTAAATTTCTTTTTCATTATTGTTTTCCAAACGTCTGCTACCTGACCGAATGATCCACAGCCTGCTACTCCACCAAAAGTGATCCTTGTATCTAATAAGACCATCCCTTCAAAATTCTGCACCATCAAATACGGCCACTGACTCATACATGTTGGTATTTGGCGGTACGCCTTGGCCCAATCGAAAATTCCTAAGACTAATTCACCTTCAATTTCCATAAATAATAGTGCAACCTTTTCAAAATCATCCCACGATGTAATGAAATCGTCTTTATCTACACACGCA